CCTCTTTCCCATGGTGATTGTCTCCCCCACAGGTACAAGAGCGTGGTGACCCCCCGGCGGGCAGCGGTGGCCATCGCCTGCTGTTGGATGGTCTCCTTCCTGGTGGGACTCACCCCCATGTTTGGCTGGAACAACCTGAACAAGATGCGCAGGACTCAGGAGCTGAACGCCAGCCACGAGGAGTTTGTCATCAAGTGCCAGTTCGAGACAGTCATCAGCATGGAGTACATGGTGTACTTCAACTTCTTCGTCTGGGTCCTGCCCCCGCTGCTGCTGATGCTGCTCATCTACCTGCAAGTCTTCAACCTCATCCGCAAGCAGCTCAACAAGAAGGTGTCCTCCAGCTCCAGCGACCCCGAGAAGTATTACGGGAAGGAGCTGAAGATCGCCAAGTCCTTAGCCCTGGTCCTCTTCCTCTTCGCGCTCAGCTGGCTCCCTCTGCACGTCCTCAACTGCATCACCCTCTTCTGCCCCTCCTGTGAGAAGCCGCCCATCCTCACCTACATCGCCATCTTCCTCACCCACGGCAACTCGGCCATGAACCCCATCGTCTACGCCTTCAGGATCAAGAAGTTCCGGACAGCCTTCCTGCAGATCTGGAACCAGTACTTCTGCTGCAAAACCACCAAAACCGCCAGCACCACCACGGCCGAGCCGGACAACTAGGGAGAGAGCAGAGAGGAGACACCCCCCTGCCCCCTGCCCAGCTTGGTGCCCACCCGGCCGCTCATCCTGCTGCCAGGGGATGGGGGGGTGAGGACCTGGGAGGGCTGAGTTCTCCAGCCCCGTGCAATCCATGTGTCCCCCCCCAGCTGCCCCGGGGGTTATTTATTCACGAGCATCCTACTGCCTGCAACGTTCCTTTCCTTTTATTTTTATTTTTTCCTCTTTGTTTGGGGGTTTTGTTGTTTTGGTTTTTTTTTTTTAAGGGTTGCCAAGTATTTAAAGAGAAATTGTACAGACAAAGGCGCAGTTTATCTTCGTGCAAATAAAGTGAGATGATGAAAACCACCCAGGAGGCCACTGATGGAGATCTCTGGCTCCTCGGAGCGCAGCAGTGGGTGATGCTGGGGGCACTTCACCCTCTGCCCCCCGTGCCCATGGACCCAGGCACTGGGGCAAAGGGGTGCCCTGGTGGGAGTGAAGCTGCTGAGAACCAGGAGATCACAGGGCAATGGGATTTCTGCAGCTCTGAAGCTGAGAGCTTTCAAGCCCTTTCTTTCCCCCCCATAACCAGGGAGAGATGAGCTGGGCTGAGGCACGGGAAGAGATGGGGAAGGCATCCCATGGCAATGCTGGCACCCACAGGGTGATGAACCCACCACCCCACAGAGCAAAGGGTCTGTCTCCAACCCTCAACACTGCCAGAGAGATAGTTAGAGGGGAAAGGAAACCCTTAAAGGCCACCCCAGAGCCCTCTGCAAGAAGCTGCCCCAATGGCTCCCCATGGAGCACAGCAGCACCCACCAGCCCTGCAAGCTACACCCAGGGAGCTGTGTCACCTCCGTGTGTCTTCTCTCCCCTTTTACTCTGCCTCTGAGCCATTCTCACCTCTTTTCTCCTGCCTGTCTTCTGTGCAAGACAGTAGCAAACCCCTCCCAGCTCGTTGTCTCATCTCTCCCACGACTCTCCCTACCACCCTCCCTGTGCAGCCAAATCCTTTTGACCAAAACTGTCTGGGTGGATGAAGCCAACTCCACGGCCCAGGGGAGCAGAGAGGCACCTGTGCCCACCTGGGAGCAGGCAGGGGACAGCCACAGGCCACCCTGTCAGTGTTGGTGCTGCCCCAGGAGCGTTCTCCCACCACCACTCGTCTGTCTGCCTCAGGTTTGGGTGGGCAGGGTGGTCACATTTGAGGAAGGGGGTGGCTGGAGATGAACCATCACACCCACCCAGCTCTGTGGTCTCTATGGATACTGGCAGCCCCCCTGCCAGTCCCTGCACTGCAGCAGGATCTCTTCCAGGGCTGAGGAGGTGGTGGCAAGAGTTAATGTGAGTTAATTTGGGTTCCTTTCTTATCAGCATCCCTCGTTCACCAGCCTCCCATTGGAAACACACTTCCTATGACCCTTCCCAGCAGGGCTGTGCCCCTCGGACGTCACCACTGGGCAAAGTGACCACAATAAGTCCCCGCAGGGGCTGGGAGGGGGTGCAGAGGGGAACAGGACCTGGGAGGGGTCAGATTTATGGGTGGCTCCTCAGCTGGCTGCAGAGAACGACGCTGAGCACACGTAGCATGGGCAATGGGGCTGCTGGGTGTCCCCTCTGCCCACTGCTGAAGCCCAATCTGTTTAGCCTGGAGGGAGTTCCTTGGTTGCTCTGAGTGGAAGATGAGGGCAGCAAAGGAAGGAGATGAGGGCAAGGACAGGAACAAATCCCTCCCTCGGGCCTCATCATGATGGAGGGGCCCTGCAAACCCTCTGCAAGATGAGGAACCCCAAATCCTTCATCAGGAGTGCCTGAGGATGCTGCCACCCCAGGCTAGCACAGAGACAACCCCCCTGTGCTGTGCCCAGGGTCCCTTTGTGCAGCAGTAGCTTGGCCTTGGATTAGAGCTGCTGTTCCCCAAGCACAGGTCTGATTCCCACTTGCACTCTTCCCCACTCTCCCTCTTTCTGCCAGAGGCTGCTTTCCTGGAACTGATGCCTTTGCCTGATCCTTGCTAAGGTGCCCAGAAACCTGATGACTGGGGTGCTCATAAATTAAAAGGCATGTGAACATTTGCTCTCAGAAAAAAAAAACCTCCAGTGGATTTTTCCACTCCGTGCTCTCCAGACCTTTCCTGGGAAAATCTCACTAAAAGCAGATGCTGTTACCCACCCCAGTCCCCCATGGGGTTGCGAGCACAGTCTTTGCCCTCCAGGGCTGCATTAAGAGTCTGGAAAGGGCACAACGTGCAGCATGGCACAGTCTTGGAGGTGCTGCTTCTCCCCTCTGTTAGCAAACCCGCAGCTCCCAGCCCTCATCCCCAAACTGACCAAAGCCACGTGTGAGATGCCAGGGACATCAAGGGGGCCAGGGTATCCCCAGCAGTGCCCAAGACCAGGTGTGAGCATGCCAGGGGAAGACTTGCTGCTGACTTGCCAGCAGGACTGTGACCTCCACCCTGGTGGCATCACCCCAACCACCTCGGTGGAGCAGCCTGACCATCACCTGGGATCAAAGTTAATCCAGTGATGCCCTCTGATGGTGGAAACTCTGGTGTGGGCAGTGCTGAGACCCTGGGGACAGAGATATCCCCATGGACTTCAGCTTGGGCATGGGGGCAGAGGGGCTGCAGGAGAGATGCTGCAGAGGGATCAGCTATTTAACCATGAGCACTGCCTGGCTTTGCTCTGTGCTGGCACGAGGGACGGGCTAGGCTCCGAGCTGTGGGCACCCTGGCTGGATTTGCACCCGTGTTGGCAGTGCCAGGGCCTGTCAGGATACACCATTCTCCCAGCAGATCTGCATCTGGGTCACAGCAGAGCTGGCAGGCAGCTGGGAGAGCTCCTGCCCCTTCCCAGTGCCAAACCCACCAGCCCAGGAGGGAGATTGTGCTGGTGGAGGAGGTTACACCACAGTGCTGACCCCTGGTCAACAATGAGCTTGGTCAGCTTGATGGATCTGTCTGAGCTCCTGGTTAATAAACAGCATCTGCCCCGAGCTGGCTCCGAGCTGTGAGGAAGGAGGAATCTCTCTACACATGAGCTCTCAGGTCCTAACAGAGTCGATTCCTCCTCCTCTGGGTAACACATCAGCACGTCCTGCCCCCACCTCCTCGTGCCAGGGGCAGGGGGTGCTGGATCAGTGCGTGGCTGCATCACTGCATCACTGCCAGGGATAAAGAAATTGTGCATGACTGTAGAAAAATCGACATTGCCACGGTTCTTATCTTGGTTTTGGTTGGTTTGTTTCTTTCCCCATCAGCCAGAATAATTCTCCAGCTCCAGAAGGAAAATTCCCTATCCTTCTCCTCCTCCTTTTTGGGTTGCTTCTGGTTTAGTCAACTTCATATGTGCTTTATAAAGCTGGTCCTTTCTTTCCAACCTCAGAAACCATCTCCTCCACTCATGGTTTTGAGCCTGTAGCATCCCTGGCAGCTCTCTCCCCTCTACCTCCCCCACCCAAGCCAACTCCACAACGAGCAGGACAGAGTGGGGTGAGGGTTTTTATTAGGACCACAGCCAAGGACACGTTCAGGGGGGACCATGCCACGGTAGGCTGAGGGGCAGGTCCCCCCCAGAGCACTGCCAGGGAGGGGGCAGGCCAGCATGCAGCAGAGGCCATGGCCAGGAGCATCATCGTGTGCCACACCACCACAGAGCAGCCTCAGCATCCACCTGGGGTAAAGGAAGGAGATGGAAATCCTGTGAGGGCACCACAGGACACCAGTGGTCAGGGATGAGATGGGAAACCATGTCCCAAACCAGCTCTTCCACCCTCTCCCGTCCCACAAAATTCAAGTTCAACCCTTTAACTCTTCTTACCCACCCTGCAGCCCCATTTCACACCCCTCTATACTTGCCCTCAGCCCCAGGACCTGTCCCTCATGTGCCTCCAACCCCTGCTGCCCCAGGTCTCTGAGTCCTGCCTGGAAATCTGGGCTCTGCCCATGCATCTGCCAGGCACCACAGTCCCCACCTGCATCTTCACCCTCCGGGCCATATGGACAGCCCTCCCTCCACCTTGCCAAGGGGCAGGTTTCTCTCAGGCTCTGTGGCATCCCACCCCATCAGTGCCTCTTCAGCTGTGAGGAAGTGATGGGCAGACCTGAGGAAATGAGGAAGACCCAAGCTGGGGCTCCATCAGTAGGTGACAAAGGCTGATCCAGAACACTCAATCCACTTCATACCCACTGAAGTGATCCACCCTCCTTCCATATCACAGCCCCAGCCCAGACCTACCTTGCTCTTCGTCTTGTCCTCTGATCTGTCCTCACTTGGGCACTGCAGGAGAGCAGGGGAGACATAAATCCCCTGAGCCCCCCTCATCTCACTCCCCTTTTGACTTCCCCAACCGTGCCAGGGCATGCCCACACTGCTCCCAGCAGTCACACGCCACCACCACTGCCCGCCCCTGCCCAGCTTGCCCCCAGGATCCCTGGGTGACTCCCAGGAGCTTTGTGTCCCCAGCACAGTGACAAGCTCATGCTGGTAGCTGACTTCACCTTGCTGCCTGCAGGGCAGTGTGGCTGGGGCAGTGCTCACTGCATGGGCTGCAACCACAGGACCAGTGTTTGGGG